CCAAGCAATAATACAAGGACACATTTAATTTATAATTTGTCTTAAATCTCATTTTGTTAAAAATAATAATAATCGTGAATCGAATTGAATCGTGAAATCAAAATCATGAATCGAATCGAACCGTGAGTTGAGTGAATCGTTACATCCCTAATCACACTACAGGATTAAAATGAGTTGCATATGCGGTTTCATGTTGACTTTAACCACGACTGAACCCAGAGCTCAAATCGAGAATCCCACCTCCAAACTAACAAGCTATCGCCTGAAGACAATGTGTTTCCTGACAGAAAGCCTCACTGTGAGAATCTCTCCAGACGGCCAACAGGTGCATCACCTTGAGACCCTGAATACAGAGCGAACAGGAGCAAACAGACAGATTTCACTCTCACAATGCGTCTGAAGCGTTTTGTCAAAGCTTCCTCTCGTTCAAGGCTGCTGGTCTGTACCTGAGAAACAGCTGCGGAGCCCAGCCTGAGTCAGCCCTGATCCGCACAAATAAAACACAAAGCCAGCACATGCAAGCTTATCAGATATTAAAAAAACAAATGATATGAGCAAGAACGATTTCTCATTTCCTCTCTGAGACCCCAGGAGTTCATCCTGTGGCTCCCGTGGAGGCGGTTGAGAGGCACACGCGATCAATAAACAAAATCCCTGTGGACATCTGTTTGGACAGGTGCGCTGATTAAGAGGGGCACGTCAATGGGCATCTCCGATACAACACCGGAGGAGACGGCATCACGGGGACACGGGCCAGATGGTGACGGGCGGGTCAGAATAAACCAATAAGCCACCTGAGGCTGAGCATTACCATGCGAGGCTTAAAGGAATAGTTCACGCAAAAATGAACATTTGCTGAAAATGTACTCACCTTCAGGCCATCCAAAGATGTAGATGAGTTTGTTTCTTCATCAGAACAGATTTGGAGAAATGTAGCATTACATCACTTGCTCACCAATGGATCCACTGCAGTGTACGGGTGCCGTCAGAATGAGAGTTCAAACTGGAGTGGTGTGGATTACTTGTGGATTATTGTGATGTGTTTATCAGCTGTTTGGACTCTCATTCTGACGGCACCCATTCACTGCAGAGGATCCATTGGTGAGCAAGTGATGTAATGTTACATTTCTCCAAATACTGCCAATGCATCCATAATGCTACATTTCTCCAAATCTGTTCTGATGAAAAAACAAACTCATCAAAATCTAGGATGGCCTGAGGGTGAGTACATTTTAAGCAAATTTTCATTTTTAGGTTTAACTATTCCTTTAACTGTGTTTATAGCATTTATAAAGACAGAAATACATAAATGTTCACTAAAAATGAAATTAGGAACAATAAATCACAATGAGCAATGCTAATTCTTGGCAAAAACTGAAAGCATAGTTCATCATTTACCTGCAGGCTGTTTGCGGTGTTGTAAAGGGTTGAAGCAACTTGGTGCATTAATACAGAGCTCAGGTGGAGACGTGGCGTGGTGAATCTGAGTCCAGCTTGTGTTGTCTTCTGGTCCTGTCCTCCTATCGTTTGGTCTCAAGATATCTGTTGTTCAAAAAGACAAAAATAAAAAAGTGAAATATATTAGAGCTATAAGCTAGGTTATTTTGTTCAAGCGTAGCTCCAAAAAGATTTTAGTGAATCAAAAACATCCAGTGTAAACCAACCGATTCCTGAACAAGTGACTCTTATGAGCCAGTTCTTTATAAGGAACTGAAACATAACACGCAGAGCAAATGATTCCTTTTTTCCTAATTTTTCTCTGAAGTGAATCTAAACACATATTGCACAAAAAGGTCCAGACCAAATGATACCTGAACAAATGACTCATGAGTAGGGCTGGGTATCGAGTTCGATACTTTTTAGGCACCGACCGAATTGCCTCGATACCATCGAGTATCGAAAAACGTCTTGTCGTTCGGTACCAAATTTCGAAACCTACGGGGTTAATCTCATCAGCATCAGTGAGCCAATAAGCCTGCCACACTTGTCAAATGTCTTGAAACAAATGATCTGAACAATGTCTTGATGTGTGGTTGGGACTCCAGGCCGTTAAAATTATTAGAGAAATAATGCACTCCCGGAGGTGGTTATGTGGCCACGACTATATGGTATGGTCTTTCTCAGTTCTCAAACAAATTAAGAACTATTCGATTTTTATTGACTGAACGCAAGCGCTTATTCCGATAGAAAAGACTGTATCGGTTTCCACTGATTAAGAAATATTTTTGTTTGCTTGGGTGGTAATATTAGGTCTATTATATTAATAGGGAAGGGGCCCAAAAATGTTTTTTCTACATCACGAAAATAGGTAAATCCGGACCTGCCATCTAATGTGTGTTTTGGCCATGTAATGTTGCTGAAATTAAATATGTTATTACCTCTGTGTCAGAGCAGCGATCATGGAAGAGAGAACACAAGCAGACAGCGCTGGAAGCTGCTAATGCTCATCAGTAAATCAGTGGAAAATAAATAGAAATCATGATTCTGTCTGAGCTATGCGTTTTAAAACGAACACTAACTAGTGTAAATGTAGCCTAACAGATGTGTAAACTGAAGACTATTTGAGCTTTATTAAAACTATTTTGCACTGATTTATTGTGTTGGTTACATTTTGTTCCTTTGTGCAGTGGCTCAGGAGATGAGTCTTTGAGTTTGTATAAACATCAACAAGCTGAGAAATAAAACCAAAGTTTTTTTTTTGGATAATGCAATCTTGTTAAAATTGATTTCATAAAATTGGTATCGAAAAAAGTATCGTTCAGGAACCGGTATCGAAGTCAAGGTATCGGTATGGAAAAATTTTGAACGATACCCAGCCCTATATCTAATAGTTGCAACATTATTTTGCTTAGGTAACTGGTTATTGCTGATAGAGTTTAACATTAGACTTGACAAGTTCTGTTGGTTTTGTTTATTAATGTAGCTATTTTCAGTAACCTACTTCCTGTTGATTTAGGAAAATGACTGGTCTAGTACTTAGTTGTTTGAAGTCATGCAAAGTTCTCTGAAATCTAAATGATGTCTGACTTCCTTTTCTGTAGGAAAAACCCAGAGTTGGTCCATCGAGAGCACAGACCGCCACAGCTACTCATGGTACAAAAACCCTTCTGAAAGCGACACGATACCTCTTGCCCAGACTACCACGTTAAAGTCTGAAAAAACAGAGGACAAGGATTCTTACGATGCCTGGAGCGCTGCGGTTGGTCTGGGAGCACGCTCCACATCCCTCTTTACTGAACCTAAAGACCCTCCGTCTACCTTGTGGGCATCCAGTAGTTACAGTCACAGCAACATTCAGGGCAAAACCTCCACTGAGACTCGGTTAGACAAGTTTGCTCAAGGGAACTTAAATTTTCCTGTTGAGCCATCTGAAAGTGAGGACCACTCTCAGTCTGTGCTCAGGGCGTCCAGCTGCAGAACGTACTGCAGACCCAGTAAAGGCAAACAGCCTGGTGGAGCTGATGGGAGTGGAAGCGCTTCCAGTCATAGCTCCATGGGGGTGTTGGAGAACACCGGGGCCGAAAATGCTGGGAAAACTATAAACAGAGGTCGTACGAGAGACTTTACAGTGCTACACCCTTCTTGTGTTTCCATGTTTAACGTCACCTTCCAGGACTCTATGGACCGTAGTATGGAGGAGTACACAGCCAGCGCCCCAGCTGCTGGACCAGGAGATACTGGAAGACTGAGGAAGAAAATGGAGGCAGAAAGCAAACCTTTCAGGTAATAGTTTTGTGTAAGAACATTGATGTAATAACATGCAATTGTTAGTACCTGCAGTCATATTGAGCTGTACTTCATAATATTTTTGGATGGTAGTCTTAGGGTGCTTTCACACTTGGTTCAGTTGCCTGGTCCGAACCCAAGTTTGATTGCTCCCCCTCCCCTTGCCCCCGCTGGACTGCATTCATATTATTTTATTTGGGTCCTAACCACTGTTCATTTGCGTCATCAACCCAGCAGCTGTTTACCCCGCTGCTTAGTAACAACGGCGCAGGAGAAGGCAGCAAAATGTATAATTTCTCTCTTCACTTTTATATATTTGTTTTTGAACCATTGATTTTGTTTTCAAAGCTTCAGTACGTAATATACTTTTTTTTTTTGTATGCGTTTTGTTTTTAGTTTGAGTTGTGTTTTATGTTGTGGGTTTTTTTTGTTTTTTTGTTTAATTTTGTAGTATTTGTTTAGTTTTGTGGCATTTGTATTTAGTTTTGTTTTTTGTTTAGTTTAAATTTTGTTGTTGTTTTGTGGTATTTTATAATTTGTTCAGTTTTTACTGTATGTATTTGTTTTGTTTTTAGCCTCGTCACCCATTTGAGCATGGCTCCACTATTAATCAACAGCTCCAACCTCAACCGCTAAAACAAAAATAGAGAAGTGAACATTAACACCATCCAACTCTAGACATTGGAAAATATTTTTTCATTGCTCTTAGTTTCTATCTCTTACATCTCATTGAACCCCTTAACAAACCTGGTACTCCTATTTAATCAAGTAATGACAGCCCTACTTAAAAAATAAATCAAATAATTTGAGATTGTTAGAATTATGCTTGCAAAGTTTTTTTAGCTTTTTGTTTAATTAGGGCTGTGCAATTAATCGCATGCGATTGTCATGCGCATCTCGTCAGTAAAGCCGGTCTCGTGATTAGTAGTAAATCTCCATCACCTGCTTTCAGATGGAGCCGCAATCACTTCACAGAGCCGTAGTTCACTGAAAATTAGGCAATATCGTGTTCATAATCGCAAATGAATCGCATTCGATTATGAACGAGATATCACCTAGCTTGCCAGTAGGCATGGGCCGGTATGAGATTCTGACGGTATGATAACCTTAGATAAAAATATCACTGGTTCACGTTATCACGGCATTGCGATTACAGCTCTAAAATATGTTATTTTTTTAAATGTCTGGGTTAAAAAAAACAACTTTTGTTTTCCCAATGAACACAATAAATTTTATTTTTAAGAAACATAAAACATTTTGGAACAGTACACATATCAGGCTAAATAATTTAAATAAATAATTGAATTCTTCTTAATTAAATTAAGTGCGGTCACTTAAGTGAGCCTAAACCTGCAGCTCAATAATCAAAGACATAAATCAAAACACAATTTCTGTAAAAAAAAAAAAAAACTGCAGCTCAACAATGTTTTTGGAGACATGCTCACCTTCTACACATTCCTCTTTCAGTCCATGTTATGATGCGGGTATTTTCACCTTTCCTGGTTTAAGTTTGGAGCGGTGAGGTACGAGGATGTGTGCACATACACATAAGGAAAGAGAGAGCGCGGGTGTCACACACACACACACACGGTCTTTCTCCGTGGCAAAGACACCTGAGAGCCAGCAGTGGGATTGATTTTTAAATGTCGTGATTTTGAACAGATGTAAACAATGACAGGATGCTTAAAAGTATAGATGTGATACCAGCTAAATTTAATTGTTGTACTAAATCGCAGAAACGTAGTACTTTAGTCTGCGATTCCGCGCTCTGTGAAGTAACGTGAGGGAGGAAACTAGTTGACGTTAGCTAGTTAATTATCCATGCTATCTGCCTCGGTAGCAAGCCAAATAGTATTTATTTAAACACTGAAACAAACGGCGGGTGGGTCTCTTGTCTTGATCGGGGGTGAAAGAGGGAGAAATGAAGATGACACAGATATATAGTTTATGTACGACCTGGAAGTATTTATTTAGTGATCGGTGCTAAAACGTCATCTGTACAGAACATCATTGTGTACGGAACATGGTTAAGTCTACGTTACCCAAAAAATTCCCATACGGTAGACTTCATCTTCTTTCGACGGGGGATGTTCGGCCATCCCACACACAGCTGACTCTCACGGACTGCTCGCACCAACCGGAGGGGGAGGGGTCATGTGACTCGACTTTTCCAAACCGCGGTATACATTGAAACCGGTTATCGTCCCATGGCTACTTGTCAGTGAACTACGGCTCTGTGTATTAAATGCCGCTCCATCTGAAAGCAGGTGATGACGATTTACTACTAATCATGGAACAGGCTTTACTGACGAGATGCGCATGACAATCGCATGCAATTAATTGCACAGCTCTATGTTTAACCAGTGCTAATTGGTAGACACCAACTGATCAGGTATACGTAGATGAAGCAAAATGTGATAAAACCCTCAAAGATGCCAATAATTCTGTCGAATTCATAATTCATTGGTTGCTCTCACTTGGCCTCATTCCTTCATGTTTGATTTAAAGTCTACATGTGTGAGATTCTGACTGTTTGTCTGTTGGGTTTCTAGTCGATCCAGACCCACACAGAACAAAATGAAGAGCAGTAAGCTGGAGCTCTTTGGGTTTGATGACACTGATGCTGTGGCTGAGGATGACGACTCTGCTTCAGGAAGCTCTAACTACAGGATCAAATACTTCGGCTTTGATGACCTGAGTGGGAGTGACGGTGGTAATGCAGTTATGTTGCTCACCCCCGCTGGCAGCTCAGCCATTATTACCAATGTTCCTGCGGCTGCTCTATGTGCACACAGGCTTCTCTGGGGTTATGATTGATTGTTGAAGTCATGATTGAACTTTAAGCATATAAATGCTCAAACAGAGCAATGTTTTGATAGCATCACAGTTTTTACGTTATCCGTGGGTAATTAGCCTGTGAATGGCTTACTTATTGATGACTCTACATATCTAACAGAGGTAAGAAGAGGTATTAGAACTGCTTTCCTCCGTGGTTCCCTTGATCACCATATCAGAGCGGATCTGAGAAGTAGTGCGGCACGATTAATGAAAATAAAACCGAAACCATAATATGCATCCATCTCTGCATCTGCTTTGCGTTCCAGTCGCTTTAATGTGCATTTGGAAATTCAAAATACACCAACCATCTTCCTATACTTGTAATGAGAAGTCCTTATCAACAAAATATAAGCTATAAGGGCTCCCTGTTTTTTTTCTCCACAAAATATTTTAAAACTGAGAAATTAAAGGGATAGTTCACCCAAAAATTAAAATTCTGTAATTTTCTCATCCTTGCGGTTTAGACTTGATCACTTTATATTAAGGGTGGGAATCACCAGAGGCCTCACGATACGATATTATTGTGATTTTAAATATATTCTGCGATTTATATATTGCAATTTATTACCTTTTTCCAACTTCAAATTATGTCCCCAAAGGAAAACTTTGACAACATCTGTTTTAACTAGAAAGAAACATTTCTCAGTTTGTTTCTCACTTCAGTTTTATTGTTGCAGTGCAAAATGGGATTGTCAAACTGACCAACACTTTCATGAAAACCTGTCATAAATGTTGTATGCACCTGGCAAACTCAACTATTTGTATTACAGTCTAATCTAGTCCACCTTAATTAAATGTAAACAGGTATGCACTGCTGTGTTACTACAGGTATTTTGATCAGTGCAACTTGAAATTGTACTAAAAAGTTGTGCGGACCCTTCAGCAATTGGGGCATTTGAAAGTAAATTACTGTTAAATTTAAATTAAATTAAACATGCAGTCTTACATCTAGGGATGCACCGAAATGAAAATTCTGGCCCGAAACGGAAAACGGAAATTCTGGATGCACTTGGCCGAAAACGAAAATGCTTTGTAATGATGATTTATTATTTTATTAAATAATATAAAGTAATTTTGTAAGACTTTTTAAATTTAACTCAATTTTAATGATACTGAATTTAAAAAAAAAAAGCCAATAAAATAACCACACTTTTACTGAAAGTAACAGACCAAATACTTATTTTACCGAGGAATTTACCAATTAATTCTTTAAAAATCCTACAATGTGATTTTCTGGATTTTTTTCCCTCATTTTGTCTCTCATAGTTGAGGTATACCTATGATGAAAATTACAGGCCTCTCTCATCTTTTTAAGTGGGAGAACTTGCACAATTGGTGGCTGACTAAACACTTTTTTGCCCCACTGTATATTAATATTGGCAACACTTTACAATACGATTCATTAGTTAACTACTTAAGTTAATGAACTAAGAATGAACAATAGTTCTTCAACATTTACTAATGCATTATTAAAATCAACATTTGTGCTTGTTAACCATTAATGCACTCTGAATTAACATGAACTAACAGTGAATAACTGTATTCTCATTAAATGACATTAAGAAAGATAAATAAATACTGTAATAAATGTATTGTTCATTGATCGTTCATGATAGTTAATACATTAACTAACATTAAGAAAGATTAATAAATACTGTAATAAATGTATTGTTCATTGTTCATTCATGATAGTTAATACATTAACTAACATTAAGAAAGATTAATAAATACTGTAATAAATGTATTGTTCATTGTTCATTCATGATAGTTAATACATTAACTAACATTAAGAAAGATTAATAAATACTGTAATAAATGTATTGTTCATTGTTCATTCATGATAGTTAATACATTAACTAACATTAAGAAAGATTAATAAATACTGTAATAAATGTATTGTTCATTGTTCATTCATGATAGTTAATACATTAACTAACATTAACTAATGGAACCTTATTGAAAAGTGTTACATTAATATTAAATATCAATATATAATTTGTATTCTTTTCTATGTAACAGAATCAGATATAAGTTGTTGTTGTGTTTTTTTTTTGGACTAATTATCCAAATAATGTATAGTCCTACAAAGCTATTATTATCAGAGCATATGAGCACAGCATAGCGTCACTGAAGTATACGCGCCATATATTATTATTATTATTATATGTAGCCTATATTTTCGGTCCATAGTGTGAGGTTTCTAAAAAAGAATGAATAGAGCATATATAGGCTACAACAAGGTTTAATCTGGCCGCAGAGGAACACAACTGGGTTGCCTAATATTAAGAGACGTAATCCCCAAAACAGAGCTTCACACTTGCGCAATATGGAAATATCTGTTAAGTGTGTTACTTATCTTTGTCAACCTGGCAACCATGTGCACGTGCTCTCTCTCTCCACTGTGGATAAACGCACGTGCTTTCTGAAAACAGCGGTTAGCGTGCAGTTTAGCGATCTCCACTTCAATAATCTATTCTCAGAAAAGTGTAATTCATCAACTGTTCATTTACGACAGAGAGTGAGAGAGAGGCTGTGTATATATGAATTACCACTGTTTTGCTGCGTTTCTCTATTAACAGTGAAGCTGTGGCTTTAATTCCTTTAGAAACAATGATGTTACCAGCTCCTTGTTGAGAAAGATAATGTAGCTCTTGAGTGATTAAGCTATTTAGTTGATAAAACTGCGGGGCAGCGCTAAAAAGTTTGTTCCTGAATGTCTGAGTGCGGCTGCAACGTGATCTGTGTGTGAGACTGAACTTAACATCTAACCGCTTCTGTTTCACACAAATGCTGGCACAGACGTGCATGTTCGGCTAGAGTCGCTTTGAACTCGTGCATCTTTGGAAGCGGAGCTGTGCGGAAAGTTACAAACAATGTCGTGCACACCGCCACGCGAAACGACGCCGCGTGCACTCAAAGCAAACTTGCGGACACTTCGAGTATAAATCGGCCTTGAGCATGTGTGCGTTAGATACAGTGAAGCGCGTTAGTTTAGAACTCTTCTAAAAAAAAAATTTATTGTAGAGAGTGTGTTAATTTGTGCAGTGATAACCTACCAGCAATGTAAATAATTTTTTAGATATATTAGAATGAGTACATTACAATATAAATTTATTAGAACAAGTACATTATTATTTATGGGCTTAAAAACAAGATGCAAACAATCAGAATATTGTACCTGGTGGGGAGTGCACAATGTAAACATGAAACATATGCCATTACCTATATTGTACTGTGGCACAGTTATGGAGGCCCTTCATAATGCAGAGGTCAACTGCCTGCTCTGCCAATAGTTAGAAATGTCTCTATAGTATGCAGTGTTTAATAAACAGCTGTTTTTCTAAATTCTGCTGAGGTAAAATTCAGTGCAGTCATGTATCGTGATACGTATCGTATCGTGGCATATGTATCGTGATACGTATCATATCGTGACTTTGCTGGTGATACACAGCCCTACCAAATAGTATAATAAAAGATCGATACTTGGCGTCCATGTATCGATACAGTATTGCCGCTGAAAATATCGCGATACTATGCTGTATCGATTTTTTCCCCCACTCCTACTTTATATGATGAACAGATTTAATTTAGGCTTTTATTCACAAATTTACATTGATCAGCAAACATAAACAGAAGCTTAATTGTATTTGCTTGACATCTGAAAACCTCATTGGTTCTTATGGAAGCTCAAATGTGTTGCATAACACACAAGAATGAACCTTATGTCGCACATGCTATGAAAAAACTGGTCCGTGCGATGAATAAATTTACCTCTGTAGCACGCGTGCGATACAGTTTTGCATGTTCATAACACAGCCGCTTAATAGTGTGAAGTGATTTCGTTGTGCTTGTTTGTGTGTGTGAGATTGATTATACTTGGTAGTTAGGGGTGTGCGATATGACTATTTTTGATCGTGGACGATTAAAATGTCTCCACGATCTGCTTTTGAAGAAATATCGTTGTATCATGCTACAGCGCACATATCAGCTGCAGTTCTGGCGCCTCCCTCTGTCTCAAAATTCACATCAGTGTTAGCTCAGCAGTAGTTACTCTCAGGGGACACTGCACTTATGCGCAATCACATTATTACATTATTTCCATCTGCTTTAAAGCAATACCGGTTAAACATTTAATTTACGTGCTGTTCTGCATGCGCTTTTTCTGAGCGCGTACTCATGAAGTGCGCTCACACTGTGAGCCTGTCAAAAGGCGCCTGATTATTGGACTAAGTTGTCTTTCGCGTCTGATTGATTTTGCGTCTAATACTGTCAAAAACACACAAGGTTTACATATAAACACTGTTGGTTATGTCTAAAAAGAAACTAAACAGTTGAGAGAGAAACGCGTGCAGCTCATAAAGGGACAGTAGCTACTAAACATGCTGCCGACTGTCATTAAAGGGATAGTTCACCCAAAAAATTTAATTTCTGTCATTATTTACTCACTCACATTTTGTCCCAAACCTGTATTAATATCTTTCTTGTGCTGAACACAAAAAGATATTTTGAAGAATTTCAGTAACCGAACAGTAGCTGCTCCACACTGACTTTTACAGTAGGAAAAAAATACCATGGAATTCACTGTGGACCAGCAACTGCTTGGTTACCCACATTCTTCAAAAATAACTTGTATGTTCAACAGACGAAATAAACAAATTCAGGTTTAAAACAACTTGAGTAAATGATGGTATAAAAATGAAACACTATGACAGAATTGAAAGACAGATGACAATTTTTATTTTTGGTGAACTTTTTTTTTTTTTAATGTTAATAAAACAACAAAACACAGAAAAAAAAATCACTCACTGCTCTTGACTGATGAACTTAACTCAGTCAGTTGCTTTAAAAAAAAAAAGTATAATTTATGTATATAGTGTATATAGTGTTTTATTTTAATATTTGTTCATTCAATTTCTTGAATGTTACTGCTAAATACTGTACCTGAAAAATAAAACACTATTTTATTTGTATATTATGTG